TTTGACAGGACGGTGTAAAAATAACATCTCTGCAACAAGCCAGCTCTGTTCTTTGCACTGTAATAAAATCTTCATTTTCAAGTAAACATGGTTCTCTGCAAGAAAGGGGAAACTCTATTTTTTTCTCACCATGTGCAAGACAAGTAGATCTTAGTGGGCCTTGACAATGATTTGAGAGTTTTCACTTCTTGTGCCATGCTCTTTTGAAATAAAGAGGGGATTATAGCTACAGACGGCAGGCTTGTAATCCGATGAAGTAGCTAGTGAAGACCTGCTTTGCCCTAAGAAGGGAGAGTAAATGCAGAATGTAGAGTAGATGTTCTTTCTTGACTATGCAATGTCCTCAGTCCTGAATTGCTGAGAAAATGGAGGAGACTGTGAAAGAAAGATTTTATTCTTATTGTACTTGTTAACTCTTGATTTTCAAGAACAAATGTTATTGAAGTTACATGTAGCCTTGGCAGCTCATGACAAGAGCCTAGGTTGATTACTGATGCCATAAACAAGAGTGTCAATTTGTTAAGTCAACAACAGGAGTCACTGTGCACTTACTCCTCATGTAGGATCTCTATCCTTAATGTGCTGTACATTGAGATTTAATGCTATAACTAGTACTCAGTATTTTTCACTTTATGTTTCTGTGTGGGAGCAAACTGTTGAAATCTTTACTTAATGTATGATAAACTGATCTTCTGTATATAAAGAGAAACGAAAATGAATCTTGATGTGAATGGAAGGGAAGAGGGAGCAGGAAAGGGGAGGGTTGCGGGTGGGAGGGAAGTTATGGGGGGGAAGCCATTGTAATCCATAAACTGTACTTTGGAAATTTATATTCATTAAATGAAAGTTAAAAAAAAAACATAGCCAGTAACTTGCTGTCCTACCAGTCAATGTAAGTTTCTTTTGACTGGAAATTCTACCCCCAACCTTTCTGCTTCTTTGGCTTTCACTGTCTCTGACAAGATCATTTCTGGGCCACATTCTCGTAAGTCAGCTCCCAAGCATTCCTCATGCTGATGTATCCCACACACAAAGCCATGACAAAATTTTCTACAGCACAGATTGGATCACTTCATCCTCTCTGGCAAATAAATACAACCAAGAGCCAAGAGGGCACACAGGAGGAGGGAGAAAGCAGAGAGGATACTCATAAGTTTGCAGACATTTGAAAAAATTACCTTCATTTGATCAAAAGTAGAATGAACTTTGAAAATGTAAAGTGCAGACTGTTAAAAACAATCATCTTAAATTTTAAGACCTTGAACTAATTTCTCTGGCTTTGTAAGTAGAGAATCAGCTTGGGGAACTAATGAAATGAATTCTTTTCTGAGATTTTATTTATTTGAAAGGCAGAGTTACGGGGTGGGGGTGGGGGAGTGGGGGGGTTGGAATCTTCCATTTGCTGATTCAGTCCGCAAATAGCTACAACAGCTGAAACTGGGCTGTTCCAAATCCAGGAGCCAGGAGCTTCTTTCAGAATTCCCACGTGGGTGCAGGGGCCTAAGCACTTGGGCCATCTTCCACTGCTTTTCCAGGCACATTAGCAGGGAGCTGGATTGGAAGTGGAGCAGCTGGTACTCAAACCAGTGTCCATATGGTATGCCAGTGCGCAGGTGCCACAGTGCTGGTCTCTATGAAATGGGATTCTAAGCTGTATTTTGGGAAGACTCTTTCTTGCTATGGGCCTAGTACAAAGGTGCATGTAAGCCCCTTTGTGGTCTGATCCTGTCCTTCTTTGTTACCTAACAATTTAAATTTACCAAACATTAATGTAGGTGTGCTTTCAGAAATCCATCTTGCTACTTGCTACTTCAATGATTTTCTATACGCCCTTTTCTCTATCAAGAATTTCCTGACTTTCTTTCTTTGCCTGACAATCTGATTGAGTCTCCAAGACCCAGCCCAAGCATCACCTCCCTGCTGAGAAGGATTCCCTCAGCTCTTCAAATTCCTCCCTTTATGTCATCACTAATGTTCTACACATGGTTGTAGGGCACTTAAAGTAATGCATTATGCTCAATTTGTTTTAGCTTGTGTTGTTCCCTTCAAGATTAATAAATCTTCGAGGACAGAATTCATATCTTTTTTATCTTGGTATTTCCTCACACCATTTCTGGTTCAAAATAATTATCAAAATATATGCAACTGAATAGAAACTTATGAGGGAATGATTGTTCTCCACATTTTCCCTTCAGCTGTGACTGTCCCATGACAAGAGTTTTTCGGCTGATTATTATTTGTTTTTTTTTTTTTTTTCATTTTTGAGTTCAGTGGCCCCTGCCAGGGAAATATCAAAGAAAAGTGCTTTGCATCTTGACTCCAGATTTTAAAATGCCCGTAGGAAAGAGCACAAGAGAAAACAGTGCCTCTAGAGCTATAAACAAACAAACAAACAAACAAATGCCTTTCACAGATGTAACTCTGTTTACATGCTCTAGAGTATTAACATTTGAAAATGTGCAATGGCAGTGAAACGTGGTATCAAATTCTGCAGGCAAAAAGCTATAACGCGAATCTTCCAAAAATGACCCATTAATTTCTTCTTTTACTCAACAGCACAGCTTGAGAGTATATTTTAAAAATCTCATCTTATTTTAAACCATTGAAACATTTTCCAGTGTCTAAATAGCAGCCAGGTCTCCTTATACTATTCATGATTACAGCCTGTCATTGTGACCAGTTTTTTCCACTACTTAACTGAGTGTAGTATCATTTCCACTTTGCTACTACCTGAAAGTGCTGAGAAATGTTAAGCTATAAAACTGTACTCATCAAGAAATATTAATGGAGAGGGTGGACATATTTTTTCCAATACTTAAGAGCTTAAGCTGTAATAATAAAAAGAAGGATTTTATTTCCTGAAATAATCTAAAGAAGAACTGGAAGGAAATGAAAGTAAAATCCACCAGGATTATAAAATTAGGGCAGAGTTACGTAAAAATATTTGGAGTATCAGAAAAAGTCTAAAATAAACGAAAAAACAATACATTCATGATATTTCTAGTTGACCCAGACAATTGCTACTATGTTGTGTAATTGGAGACCCTTTGAAGAATCTAGTAAAGCACTCATTGGAGGAAGTCAGGAAAAACATCCTGCATACCCATCTGTGTTCAACCAACCAACAGGGCTGGACAAGGCAGAAAATGCATTCCTCCTGCTTTAGACAGAAAGCACTAGAACAAAACATTGCCAACTGTCAGAATGATAAGACTAAAGGAAGAGAGGAACATATTCCTGACAAGACTGGTCTGTGCTTGTAGAGGAAAGTCACAATATCATACTCTATTATTGGTAATCACAGAAAAAAGTGAGCAATGTGGTTGAAGCTGGTTATAGTAACATCTGGAGCGGCCAGTGCCGCAGCTCAATAGGCTAATCCTCCGCCTTGCGGCGCCGGCACACTGGGTTCTAGTCCCGGTCGGGGCGCGGGATTCTGTCCTGGTTGCCCCTCTTCCAGTCCAGCTTTCTGCTATGGCCCAGGAGTACAGTGGAGGATGGCCCAAGTGCTTGGCCCCTGCACCCGCATGGGAGACCAGGAGAAGCACCTGGCTCCTGCCTTCGGATTAGCGCGATGCGCCGGCCACAGCATGCTGGCTGCGGCGGCCATTGGAGGGTGAACCAACGGCAAAAAAGGAAGACCTTTCTCTCTGTCTCTCTCTCTCTCACTGTCCACTCTGCCTGTCCAAAAAAAAAAAAAAAGTAACATCCGGAGTGGGTGGTGCAGTGGTTAAGATGCTGCTTGGGATGGTGTATCCCATGTCAGAGTGCTTGGGTGTGAGTCCTGGCTCTGCTTCCTATTCCAGCTTAACGTGCATCCTGGGAGGTAGCAGGTGGATGGCTCAAGTAGTAGGGTCTCTGTCACAGATATGGGAGACATGGATCTAGTTCCTGGCTCCTAGCTCAGTCTGATCTAGTCCTGGCTATTCTGTTGTGTGCATCTGGGGAGTAAACCAGCATATACAAGATCTCTCTCTCTCTCTCTCTCTCTCTCTCTATATATATATATATATATATATAGAAATTAATAAATAAAGACATTTTAAAAAGTTAGGAACATCTTCATGTCCAATAAACTGTCATGAATTAGCTCTTAAAACCATCACACATATTGGAGAATAACAGATTTGAAAGGAGTGAGGTAAAATATCTTGGTGTATAAGTCAGAATTCCTAGGGGGGGGGTATTATATGATTCAACAAGGTGCTCACTTCCTGAAAGGGATAACAGTCTGATATATTTGGTGAACGGTAGAGAAGAAAGTTCAGAGAAGCTTGCCTAGTTACTGTTTGTAGAAGTTTGTAGAAATCAAGATTCTAACAAATACAAAATTATCATGCTAACAAAGTTTGCCTTTGACCCATATAGTCTCATATAAGAAACTTTCAGGACAGGCAGAGGGTGAACCAGAGACTCTGTAACCCTCTCACCAGTACCTCTGCTTGAGCACTGTGACGGCATTATCTCCTAAAAGTTGTGCTTTAAAAAAACTTCTACGTTTTTAAGTTATTTATCTTTAAGCACAGAAATAAATTTCTCTTTTCTTCCAATGAATCCATTCATTGTGCTTTTTTGGCATAATTTTCTGGTCACTGATGTCCTTGAGATCTATGCCTTGTCTTCAGTCCAGTGTGCCTGTGTATGAATACCCATGCACATAACACCTGCTCACATGCATACTCAGTGTTATGCATACCATTTCATTCTATCAGTGGAGAGCAGGTTAGGAATTCCTGATTTGTTGATTTTTTTTTTTCTGGCCTAAGAGAAATCTAAGAAGGACACATCCATCTCTGGCCCAGTCTCCTCCTTTGTAGGAGCATCTATGGTGTCTGTGGTGTGCTGTCCTTCTTTTGTTTTGACCTCTTTAGCTAAATTTCCTCCCCTACAACAATACTTAATCAAAGGACAAGGATTTGAACTCATTGCTGAGCAAATTTCCTGCTGTGCAATCCTATTATAAGGGTTTTAAGAAGTATTGAAGCCCATGGCAGTGTTACCTGGCAGAAACAGTTCTCTTTGGAGTTTTGCTCTGGCCTGCTGGGAAAAGCATCTCTTCTTCAGCCAATCAGCACTAAATTCGCTGTAATGGTCATCGGGCCACGTGATGTAAACCTTTTAACACAGAAAGCAGATATGTCCATATGTATGTTATGCTTTTATTTACTTCTGCTCTCTCTTTCGTTGTGCTATTTAAGATAATCAGGAAATATAATGGTCTCTCTCCTTTTTTTAATTGAAAGCCATAGAGATACAACTGAGGTCTGAAGGCTCTCATTAGCACACAAGAAGCAGAATCTGGCAAGATCATCCCTTCTCTCTCTCTCTCTCTCTCTCTCTCTCTCTTTTGACAGGCAGAGTGGACAGTGAGAGAGAGAGACAGAGAGAAAGGTCTTGCTTTTGCTGTTGGTTCACCCTCCAATGGCTGCTGCGGCTGGCACGCTGCGGCCGGCACACCGCGCTGCTCCGATGGCAGGAGCCAGGTACTTATCCTGGTCTCCCGTGGGGTGCAGGGCCCAAGCACTTGGGCCATCCTCCACTGCACTCCCTAGCCACAGCAGAGAGCTGGCCTGGAAGAGGGGCAACCGGGACAGAATCTGGTGCCCCGACAGGGACTAGAACCCGGTGTGCCGGTGCCGCAAGGCGGAGGATTAGCCTATTGAGCCACGGCGTCAGCCAAGATCATCCTTTCTCTTCTAAACCTGTGGTCCCCAAACTTTCCATGATGACTGAAGTTAGTGATCAATTAGGACTCCTGCCAAGAGTGTTAAATATATACACATAAACATTCGTATATATTTGACCAGATGAAAAAATCACAATTTACATTATTATATAGTAGCCCCTTTATTTAACCTGGAAGAGAAGAGAGAGATCATTTAGAGATAATTACCTTTTCTCTGTCAAATGTTAAGCTTTTGATACCAATGTTCACATCGAGGGCTTCGATGAGAAGTTTCCGTGCTTTGGCAGAATCCAGGTAGCAGTCAGAGCACTGGCAGTTGTCCCTTAGCCATATTGCTGGGTAGAGAGACTCTTCCCCGTTGTGCCAAAGGATCTGCATCAAGTGAGCCCCACCCAGGGCTTCTGCCTTTTGGATGGCACAACACATGCTTCTGGTCTTGGAGGGCAAATCTCAGACACCTGCTGTGACAGATCAGTGTTAAAGGAATTTCAGGCAGATCAGATCCGAATTTGACCTCTAAGCAAGTGAACCATTTAAGTGGACTCTGCCGTCTGGTATTTGCTTAGCGGCCAGCATCTGGCATTTGACTTAGCAATGCTGGGACCTTTGTTCTGATGGGAGGATTCTCTATGCTCTAAACAGAAACACAGTGACTAAAGGTAAAGAAGACAAAACCCTGAGTCAGGACACAGATGAAAAGAATTCCTTGTTTTTCTCACAAAGATTTTTATACTAAGTTGAGGACTAATGACATAGGAACTTCTGCAATTATGTATACATAAAAGTTCTGGAATTTTTTGAGTGATAAAAAAATGCTCCAAAAAATGAAAGTACATCAATCATGCTTGTGCTGTTTTAACTGATGTATACTTGTATATGGCTTTTGAAAAACAAATGCTTCTGTGAGAGTAAATTAGAAACCTGTTCTAGTGAAGGTAATACTAATGTCATGTATTTATCTTGAGGGATGCTGTAGTTCAGAATATGATGTTATTTCTGTTTAGCACATACTTTTTTAATCAGATAAGTTAATTTTCTCAATAAATATGAATTATCTAGGTTCTTCAAGGAACTTTGTTACTTGAAACTTTTTGCCTTAATACAAATCAGTACAATGTGATGATACTTGGGTTGGTTTATGATATATCTTTTTAAAATTTTTTTAAAAAGGGTTTATTTATTTATTTTTTGTTTTTGTTTTTTAAACTTTTATTTAGTAAATATAAATTTCCAAAGTACAGTTTATGGATTACAATGGCTTTCTCCACCATAACTTCCCTCCCACCCGCACCCCTCTCATCTCCCGCTCCCTCTCCCATTCCATTCACATCAAAATTCATTATCAATTATCTTTATATACAGAAGATTGATTTAGTATATATTAAGTAAAGATTTCATCAGTTTGCACCCACACAGAACATAAAGTGTAAAATACTGTTTCAGTACTAGTTATAGCATTACTTCACATTGGACAACACATTAAGGACAGATCCCACATGAGGAGTAAGTACACAGTGACTCCTGTTGTTGACTTAACAATTTGACCCTCTTGTTTATGGCGTCAGTGATCTCCCTAGGCTCTAGTCTTGAGGCTAGGAAGCCTTTTGAGTTCGCTGACTCCGATCTTATTTAGACAAGGTCATAGTCAGAGTGGAAGTTCTCTCTTCCCTTCAGAGAAAGGTACCTCCTTCTTTGATGGCCCATTCTTTCTACTGGGATCTCACTCACAGAGATCTTTCATTTAGGTCCTCTTTTTTTTTTTCAGAGTGTTTTGGTTTTCCATGCCTAAAATACTCTCATGGGCTCTTCAGCCATATCCACATGCCTTAAGGGCTGATTCTGAGGCCAGAGTTAGTATTAGCCATTCTATGAGTCTGCTGTGTATCCCACTTCCATGTTGGATTGTGATATATCTTTTTTTTTAAAGATTATTACTTTAAATGAAAGACAGAATTACACAGAGACAGAGGGAGAGGCACAGAGGTCTTCCAACTGCTGGTTCGCTCCCCAAAGGGTTGCAAAAGGCAGAGGTGGGCCAATCTGAAGCCAGGATCCAGGAACTTCTTTCAGATCTCCCATGAGGGTGCAGGGGCCCAAGCACTAGGGCCATCCTCTGATGCTTTCCCAGGTGCATTAGCAGGGAGCTGGGTTGGAAGTAGAGCAGCTGGGACTCGAAATAGTGCCCACACTGGATGCCAGTGTCACAGGCAGTGGTTTTACCAGTTGTGCCACAGTGCCAGCCCCTATGCTATATCTTTATGAAGTACTTTTCTGTATCTTCATTTTACTTTGGAATACACGGATTATTAAGAAATACGCGAGAGGCTGGCACAGTGGCATAGATGGTAAAGCCGCAATTTGCTATGCTGGCATCCCATAAGGACACCAGTTCAAGTCTTTTTTTGTTTTTAAAGATTATTTATTTGCAAATCAGAGTTACATAGAGAGAGGAGAGGCAGAGAGAGAGAGAGAGAGAGAGATCTTCCATCCAATGGTTCACTCCCCAATTTGCCCCAACAGCCAGAGATGTGCTGATCTGAAGCCAGAAGCCAGGAGCTTCTTCTGGGTCTCCCACGTGGGTGCAGGAGTCCAAGGACTTGGGCCATCTTCTGCTGCTCTCCCAGGCCATAGCAGACAGTTGGATTGGAAGTGGAGCAGCCAGGTCTCGAACCGGTGCCCATATGGGATGCCGGCACTTCAGGCCAAGGCATTAACCCGCTGTGCCTCAGTGCCGGCCCCCAGTTCAAGTCTTGACTGCATTACTTCTGACCTAGATCTCTGCTATGGCCTGGGAGAGCAGTAGAAAATGGTTGAAGCCCTTGGGTCCCTGCACCCATGTAGGAGAGCTGGAAGAAGCTCCTGGATCCCGGCTTCAGATCAGCTGATCTCCAGCCATTGCAGCCATTTGTGGAGGGAACAATCGTCTAGGAGATCCCTCTCTCTCCCTCCCTTCCACCTCTCTCCTCTGCCCCTGCTTCTCTGTAACTCTACCTTCGAATAAATGAATAAATCTTAAAAAATACACCAAATTTGAGGACATGCAATATTTATAGTAAAGGAACTCTAGTGAAAGAGAGGCACCATGATATTATTGTCTGAATGCCTCATGTCAATCCTGATTCTATTAAAGACTACTTATTTGATCTTTGTAAATCATGCTGATTTTCTAAATTTTATTTACTTTTTAGGACTCGATACTTTTAGGGAAGAAACTTACATGGAAACTTATTTGGCATTTCTATGGAAAAAGTACTATTCATAGGGAAATGGTAGAACTTTTTAACTTCCATAAAATGATCAGCTCAAAAATAATAAAAGGTGACATGTGACAATGGAAGCAAGATTTCACTGCTTTGAGAAGGGGAGGGAGGCAGACAAAAGCACATACAGACACACACAGAGACACATAACCCCTTCTCCCAAGTGCAATGACTGTTGTTAAAATGCCTTTAATGTATCAGAGATTGAAATAGGCCCTGGAGTCTTCAATGGCAAATGAAAAAAATCCTGCATTTCTTAAGCTTACAGGAAGATTTTATATAAGATTGAAATAATTTAAAAATATTTTACACAACAAAAAATTGATTTGGGAGTTTATACTTTGTAAATCAGTAGCTTGTATGATTTAGTTAAGTTATGGAGCAGAGTCAAGCACAAAACATGGCTTTCTCCATGTGGCCTCTTCTGCAGCAGTTATCTAATGACCAAGTGGGAGAACCACCATTCACTGCAACTCATGCTTCTTCCTGCAGGGAACTCCCATGTACATTTCTCTCAAAATTTGTATGAAGACAGGAGTGACCTATTACTTGACAAATCTTCAAACAGTTTAATTTAGTAGAAACTAAGTATTTGCATTTGAGTAAGGGGCTCTAGGGAAATCTAAACACCCATTTTCTTGGATGGAAAGGGGAGGACATTGGGTTTTCCTGATAGAAGAATTAATGCACAGCCTGGCAAATTCTCTCATATCCATGGTTTCAGAGGACAAGACCAGCCCAGTAACTCTGGGTTAATATAACAAATTCTTAAATACCCAGTTACACACAAGGACAAAAAGGAGATATACAGTACATTTTATTCTGTGTCAGAGGTTGGTGAATGTTTTCTGTAAAAGGGAAGACAGCACATCTTTTAGGGTTTGTAGGCAGAACATACTTCCAGTTGTATATCCTTGTTTTATTTTTGTAAGCTCTATAAGAATGTCACAACTATTCTTAGCTCATGGGGTACGCAAAAACAGTCTGTAGACCATGTTTAGCCAATGAGCGGTTATTTTCCTACCTTTGATCAACTTGGTTTTTTTTTTTTTTTTTTTTTGGACAGGCAGAGTTTACAGTGAGAGAGAGAGACAGAGAGAAAGGTCTTCCTTTGCTGTTGGTTCACTCCCCAATGGCCGCTGCGACCGGCGCACTGTGCTGATCCGAAGCCAGGAGCCAGGTGCTTCTCCTGGTGTCCCATGCGGGTGCAGGGCCCAAGCACTTGGGCCATCCTCCACTGCACTCCCGGGCCACAGCAGAAAGCTGGACTGGAAGAGGAGCAACTGGGACAGAATCCGGCACCCCAACCAAGACTAGAACTCGGTGTGCCAGCGCCGCAGGTGGAGGGTTAGCCTATTGAGCTGCGGCGCTGGCCCTCAACTTGTTTAAGTCATGCTTTCACTACTGTGGAACACAATCATACTCAAATAGAGGAAATAATTCTCTTTTCTCTCCTTTATATAAAAGCATATTTACAATTCACATACATATCAAGTATCTTCTTTGTACATTTGGCCCTGGAGGATACACAGATGAGCTTGAAGTTCTAGACCACAAGGAAAATTAAAATGATTATGAAAGTAAATGAAAGGAAGGCTGGGGACAGGCTCAGCGCACTTCCTTAGAGAAGATAAAACTATTTGTGTAAGTCCAAGGATCTGTATTCAACATTGTTGAGTGTGTGTTTATTATACCTTACTTTCTCTCCTCACCAATATAACATTGATTTATTTAGATTAAGAGTGTAACCAGTAAATGTATATATTTCCAAAATTTGCTTGTAGCTAAGATTAGTGTGTGATATCATTATGCCAATCATATCACAAGTTGATAGGTAGGAAATTTTAAAAAGTAGGCAGACTTTTATGTCAAATACTGTTTTCCCTGCTTCCTTCCACTTCTTCCTCTCTGGAATGTTGTGTTATCAAGAATGGAACAGTCATTTTGGAGGCATGAGGCAAAAAGCAGAAGCACAAAATATAAAAGTGATAAGAGTTTTTCATGGTTCTGTGATGTCATAGCACCAGAAATAGTTGTTCATATCTGGACTTATTTTTATATAAGAAAAAATGAATTCCTTATGTATTTAATCCTCATGGATGCCAAAATGCAATATAATAATCTATTTAGAAGGATCAAGAAATTGAATGCAGAACACAACGGTTCATGTGAATACCTACATAGAAATGTCAATGTATTTA